AGAAATCAACTTAGCTGATAAAAAAGTTTCGAAATGTTTTCGTTAAACTGGTACGTAATATACATAATGCATTACCACCGTTCAACACACTTGAGAATTTTATCGAATACGATGAAAAAAGGTACTGATTTCCATGTGCCTGTCAACGATTTCTACCTTAGGTAAACAAGGACGAGTGCTTTAATGATAAGGAAAGAATTAATTTTCAATCAAATACAGACAAAAAAATGCGAAACCCCTGAACTGGCTGTCTTGAGGAGCAGCCGTGTTTATAATTGGTCCATGTTGTGATCTAGAAGTTTGTAGTGTTCAATTTCCTCTAATAAACTCTGCATTAATGTCAAATGCTTGCTAAAGCATACATTTTGAGTAGTTTTTATGATCAAAAGTGGGTTCTAACATTATGCGCATATTTTTTGTCCGCTAAAAAAGGGTGAATTTATCCGCAACGCAACTATGTAAACTTAATGTATCGCCCAGTGTAATAACGGTCATCTGCGCGTTCAAGTAACCACAGATTTTGTCATTTCATAATGTATTTTTAATTACATAACTAGATTATGTTGTTGATTTTGCTGTTTTTAATTTTTATCCGCCACGTCTGACTGCGTTACACTGTACGTTCATTGCACGCTAGAATGATATCTCAAGTCATAGTTAGTTTAATCAAATAGTTTGTTGTTTCCAGTGCATGATGTTACTGAAGAAAGGTTTGTTGTACTGTTTTTATGAAAAACTGACTGTTGTCTTCAGTCGGAAAGCAATATACATGTATCCTTCGCCTTCTGTTAGGTAAGTTCAAATGGCCTATATTTCGTGCTTTGGTTTTATCAGCTGAATTACGTTCATTTTACTCCGTTTAACAACATGTTTGTGCAAATGGAACAATAATTATGACACTTGCTTAGTTTAGTATTCTTGGTTGCCGTAATAATTTAGATTAGTCGATAGAATTACAGTATACTTAAGTATAGTGCTTAAAGCCTGTAACGAAACGGATCAGTTTAGTAGAGCTGTCTGTTTTTAGTGAGTGTACTGATTCCAATTAGTCTGGCCAAAAATAGGAAAAAAACGTGCCTTTGATGCTGTTGCTGTCAAATATTATAATATAGCTTTAAGTACGCTTGATGTTTATTTGTAGACAGTACGTCTATCACTGTTCATGTTTCAAGACCACTGTCATTAAAAAATTTCCCCAGCAATAACATTGGTAGCAGGATAGCTAAGTTTCTGAGCTTTTATTTGCCTGCCGAAGAGCAGTATACAGCCTTAGATGAGTGTTCTGTGTCTCAACTAAATGCAGCTGGCTGTGGACAAATGTTAAGAATCTTTTTGACAACTGGGACTTTTAGTTTGTCAGAAACTAACTCTGCTTGTGTGTCTTTCTGTTAAACTAGACGCAAGGGAATACTTAAATGAGAGCGAAATAATAAAAGCATCACGATACGGTACTAAGTTCATGTTATGATTTGCACAAGTAATAATAGCTGACCTGATCGAATATTCATGAACTCAAGGTAAATCACAACTGCATAAATTCTTTGCTAAAAACATGTAATTTGGTTATTCATCTATTTCACATTTCTGACTGAATTCATTACTATTTTCTCACTTAAAATGCAACAGGAGTGAGACTCCACAGATCCTAAGAACTATTTAACCTTTAGAACTATGGCTCTATGAAACTGTTTACGGAAGACCTAACGAACAGCAGATTATAAAAAGGATGCTGGATGTCCATCTTAGTCTCACAACCACTTTCAGTACTTTTTGAGCTACTTCTTTTACTCTTTCGTTTGGAAACAAATAACAAAAACTGCAGCTCAACATTACCAGTGCAAGTCTTAAACGGGGATTTCTTTTAAACCTTTGTTTGATATTCGATTCTTAATGAAAGTTCCTGAATAGATTTTTAAATCTAGTGCTACTTTGTTTTATCTACTTAATCGTTGCAAGGAACGTGTGATATACGAGCCTCATGGCATCTAGTTCATATGTAGTAAATTTAAGTGATTTAATTTATATCTTTGTCATTTTCTTGGGAAACCTACAGAGTCGGGTCCTCTCATAACTTATTCTAACCACCATGAGTTGTCACAGCAGCTGATGGATGGACACGCGTTACACATCCTAACAGTACCTGCGTCTAATCTTATAGCTCCTTATTCAAATGCTATATGATAAGCAAGCAATGCCCCTACCCGCACTAATGGAACACGAGTAACTCAAAGGCACCCTGTATGGTACCTTACATTGGTCGACGCACTCACTTGGCTCTTTGGTGAGGATATTACTACAGTCCTGCTAAAAATCCCATGAACCGCCCTATTTCCATCAAAACTAATGTGTCTGCATTTGCTGCAAACAGCAATTTTATTTTTCAGAAGTAATATAAAACAGTCAGAATTAAAGTAAAATGGCAGTATACAGTAGATGCACGTGGTACATGTCTTCATCGATTAACTGAAATAGAGAATACGGATATTATCTTAACAGGCTTATTTAGAAAGACTAGTGTCTACTGTGAACTTACTGCGTGAGAAAGTTATACTGGAACTACGAATAATGTAGTAATCTAGTCTCCCAGGGCGTACGAAGCACTCAAACTGGAAGACAGTTGTCCAAAAATAATTCGAATATGAAGGTAAGAATTTGCAGGTACTTTTCATCATAAGGGTGAACATATTAGATACCGGTTGACATCAGACCGTTAAAAAAACACAAATTTGCGAGTGGTGAAATATGATCTATAAAAAAGTGAGCTTAATAACAGTTAATTACCTTTTTACTCCCTGATCATGACCTTTGGGCTTCCTTTAATGACCAAAACAGCGAACATATACTACACAATAATAGATTTCCGGCTTTTCAATGTGAAGCTTGCTTTAATGCACGACTTAATGAGTACAACCCCTCTATTACTGCTATATGGCATATTTTTTGTAACAAACCATCTGCGATAGATTGGTAGTATCTGTGACTTCGTCTATGGTTATCGGAAGTCTGAGTCCTTTCAAAAACAAAACTGATATCCCTTACTGCTGGGCACTCACTATTAGTTTGACTCGTTGGTGGGATAACACTGTCCATAGTACTGAAGAAAACTGACAACCGGAGATTGTTTCCTTTCATTTTGCCGATATTATCATAAAGGACAGTTAGAAACGAACATGCGGACAGTTAGTCACAGGCGGCAGAAACAATTATTTTAGCTAAAAAGCGAACTTCGGCTTTGGATATCTAGAAAACAAGTCAATGCAAAACCGATTACCATTTTAAAACATAAGACTAGCCAGTTTGGCTGAAGAAATACATTGACTTTAGTAGCAGCAGCAGCCAAAACCCAGAAAACAAAGCAAAATGAAGAAAACGTTTACTCCAACATTCAGAGTATTACATTAACTTCTGCGTTTTAGCCCACTGAAACATTAAATTCTGTAGCTACACAACAGAAATAGCTGAAAAAAGCACAGAACGAAGAAAGACAACTGCCATTGCTTACAAAGATGGCGGATATAACAGTTCCCGCCTCATTCTGATTGATTGCTAAGCTGAAGGCCGCATTTACGAAATTGAGTTGCGTTTAATAGCAGCCTTAAAAAGCCGTTATATACATTCACTTTGAACACAAACATTGGAAGGTATATACAGAGTACAAGATCAGCACCTAAAGCCAGGCTGCAGGGCACGCCCCACCCTTTTTCATCTAAAAGCCTCTTAATGGCCATAAGAATTCAAGCTTTTTCTTTAATTAGGAATGAATACTGTCTACAGTACATAAGGTTCTTCTTTCCCAGGGCTCAGTACTAGGACCTCTTCTCTTCTTGATCTACATAAATAATCTTCCTCAACAGGCAGCGTCAGACTTATTACTTTTTGCCGACGACGTGAAACTTTGGAGAGAGATACGCAACCAAGCCGATATACAGGCACTTCAGGAGGATCTGACTCGACTTCAAAGTTTGGCAGACGATAATCGACTTACCTTTAACATTTCAAAGTGTAAAGTAGTCCATCTGCGACAAGTCGCAGACTACAGTTATAACTTAGGTAACTTCTCTCTAGTAGTATCCCAAGTCGAAAAATATTTAGGAGTCCTGGTGCCCTACGATTTAAAGTCTTACACTAACTATGACAAAAATGCCTTCCGAGCAAACCTTGCACTGGTAACATTGAAGCGCATTTTTGGCCAGTTTGACGGAAGAACTTTCCATACAATCTTCAATTGTTTTATCCGTCCCCATTTAGAGTACGGAAACATAGCATTTCCTCCCTCACTCCAAAAGGATAAAGACACTCTGGAGCGTATCCAACGCCGAGCCACAAAATCAGTTCAAGGACTCAAATTTAAACCTTACGAAGAGCACCTCCAATCACTCAACCTCTACCATTAGAGTATAGACGTCTTAGAGGTGACCTTCTGATGGCTTATAGTATCCTTAACACTTCTGGACACCCTCTCAAACACCTACATAAGCTTAGTTCCAACACTAACCTAAGAGGCAACACCCAAAAACTGGAGACACAACATAGCAGAACGGACCGTGGATACATTTTCTATTCCTTAAGAGTTGTCAAATACTGTAATGCGCTGCCGGTCGAGCTAGTCCAAGCGACTTCCCAGGAGTCCTTTAAGAGGCAACTTGACCTATTGTTAAGGACTAAGGATAATATCACACTATTATTTACTAATTTCTTTTCCTCTTTTGTTGTTAACATAGCTATGTTCCTGCCTGGAGGACTTGGTGATTCCTTGGTACTAGACACGGAAGGGTGTTAAGTGAAAGCTTCTTCTATTCCGTCCACAACCATTTGAACCATTTGAACATGCGACCAAATATTCAACTACCAAACAGTTTTGTATTTCATCTTGATTATTATACACAGACCCTTTATTAATAATAATCGTTATATCCTACGTATATTTTTGTAAGCGAACTGCTTGTTCTAATCTAAATAATTTTTAGTATTGGATTTCGAAGAGGGTCGTTTTTGGGCGCATATTTAGATTGTCTAGGCCGAACCGGTGTTGAATCTAGTTTATCTTGGGCTTCGTTTACTAGATTCTCGTTATCCAGTGAGTATATTGATATTGGAGATCTTTATGGTGAGACTATAATTAACGGTCGACCTTTGAGCGACGCCAGGCTGACTTTGTGAGTGTCCACCTAAAAACCAAAACCAAATGAGGGTTATAAACATTTGTGCGGAATTAGAATTACAATTTACAGCTGATGATCAAGGTTAAAAATTAGATTTAGGTTTTTCATCATGAACTGAATTCGGCTGTAGTGCCAAAACTATTTTTCCGGATGAATGAGGGAATTTCGCACCAAAATTCGAGACCTGTTATCTTTTACGTGAATTTTTCGTCCATAAATCATAGTCTCGACGTATTTACATGTTTGAAAAGTCTATTGAGAAAATTAAATGTCACTCAGCTACACAAGCTGTCGACCTCCTAATACAGAGAAGTGATACTATCTTTTGAAAATTAGAAACGAAACTTTCAGATACATTTTTTTCTTCTGCTTTCTCATTTTGTGTTTCTTTTGATATGTCGGGCAACTATATATTCACTTGTCTACCCCGTGGTCGTTACGTATTAAAAGAATGTTGCAACGGATATGTACAGTGTTCCCATATTCATATCCACTCATCTTTGCTTTTCATAATATATTAGGATTCATCACCATATTTTCTAATGTTACGCAATTTTCAACTTAATGTTCAGTTGTTTCCCATGTCAACTCATTTTAAAAATATATTCAAAATGTTTGTGGACTATTTATGTAGTATGTGACAATGTCTTAAGAAATTTAACACTACAATCTTAGTGTAGGTCGTTTTCAGCTATGTAGTTGTTTATATTTCACTTTGCACATTGTCCTGAAGCACTCTGCTAAGTTTCTGAGGTTTCTACTGGTCAGTAAATGTTTCACTTTTAGGTGTTCCACTTTGCTAGTGCAAAATACGGTCACCAAAAATAAAGGATATTCGTAGATTACTAAATTTTGAATAGAAGTGCTTTTGAGGTGTTGCTCATATATGTTAGGACCACCGAGTAATATATGTCAAGTTTAATCATAGGTTTTTAAAGATGGGAAGTCGTCTGGTGACATAATAAATCCTTATCGACTTAGATAGCTAATGTATGCATTATATACCTAACCACTATCTACGTTGACGAGATATTTTCTGATGCAGGGTGGTTTGAGAGAAAGCTATGGGTAGCCAAGCAAAGACATCAGTCCGTAAAGCCAATAACCTTTGCTCTGAGCCATGTGGGGTAGATCCAGACTACCTGATTGGGGTCCTCGCGATTATCGAAGGCAATGAGTGGAGATAATGAGTAACAAATCAAAATTAGTTAAAATGGTGCAAATGCATTCACTTTTTGTATCTCCTTAGACCTTAGGTTTTAGAAATACCTTACAATTTTATACTCTACAAACTCATTTTCTTCTAGAATCATATTGTCTATGCCTAGTCCTTTCTAATGCTATTGGTACTGTTATTACTTCTACTACTCTAAGATTTGTCGTGATCACTCTATCTCTTTATGCTTATATTGTATAATAACACAAATGCACATGTTTGTCAGATTAATGTTCATTACAACCGGTAAATGTAAGAGAGATCCTTGTAACTGTTTTACATACTTTTTCCTTACTAGCGGTCTCACGTCATATACCAAGTCAATAGTATGTCTACGAAGTCAGAATTCTGTCGGTTATAATCAGCCTAGCAAAACTTTGTTAGCCTAAGTTGCCGTTTTACATAAAGAAGGCTTGATGTAATTAATAAATATTTGAATTTTCTGTAGTGTGTGTTATTGGAAAAGATTAGTTATTTGACAACTGGTCTTGAGAAAAAAAAGATAAATTGGGAAATATAAGGTATGGAAGTATATTAAAACTTAGGGCTTGAGGAAAGATTAAAAAATTGGCCTATTTATACCACTCACACCGATTCTGAACAACGTTACTCAACATCTCCAATCCCGGGTTACGGTTGTTCCCAGACCCCAACCAGGTATTCTGTATCTACTAAGATGGCTCAAACCAGCGGCCTGTGACCAATCTCATTTTTGTTTGGGCGCCCCTAACTATTTTTCTATGTACTCCTTCACTAAACAATATCACGTCAGCCAGTGGTTATGTATACGTGGCACGCATCCTGTTTATCTCAGTTTATGAAGATTTACCAGGAAGGATATAAAATAATTGCCAAAGTAATCGAAACAAATGAACTATTTTTATCTATAAAATTGTATTTAAAAATATGAATGAAATTTTGCTTAATGCTTTCTCAAAAGCACCATCTGTGTTTGGTTACAGTAGTGCTGTGGAATTATTTTAGTTTAGTTGAATTCCTGTTATGTATATAATCAGTTACATCGAACCATCTACATTGTTTAGTTAAATCACTTGTTTTGTAGCTACCGGCCCATACATTTGTATTAACACAGTTATGAATATAGTCAGGTTTTGTAGAACTTGTGTATGTAGGTAACATGTAACAGCCATGCACAGACATTTGCATACTTTGCGAAAAAACCTCAGCTGAAATCAATTTACAAAACCCTCAAGCATTCAAACTGTTTTGGTGAATCTGAATATCTGTGGGAGATTCATTAAATTCCAAAGATAACACTGCACGATCTCTTTTTAATTCATTGTTTTTCCACAGTTGTAAAAAAGGGCATAATACCTAGCTGATTGTTTGTACTATATGTTATAAATTAACCAAATTTTATTTCTAGCGCAAAAGTTTTATGTCAAACTGGTAATTCTTATCTATTTGCTTGAACTTTTCTAAATAAACAGATTTTGTTACTTGCATAGACAACATTTACACCTCTATAATATGGAAAAGGGTCAGACGTTTCGTAAACAGAATAAAGAAAAATTGCAAAAGTAAGACGTTTTTTTGTTTCCTACTCTGTAAATATTATTTAATGTGAACTAATGTACCAACTCACAGGTTTAATAAGAATCTTAATTTCATTTCTGTGCATCAGCTACATTGCACCTGTGGAACATAAACTCTCCAAAAGATGGCAAGGTTTAATTACAATCATATGATTTCGAGTTGTGTTCTGTACTCCACTCAATTAATTTAAAAAGTATTCAATGAACAGTCAGTTGATTAATTTATTTTTTCCTTTAGGAACCATGCAATAAATTTGCTACTTCGATTCAGTAGGCTTTTGATTATTTTCCAGTTATTACGTGTTTCTTGTCACGCGTAGTTGGAATATCTGCTTCTAAGTGGCATCCCCTTCACTTCGGCTGTCAAGAAAAAATTATCTAGGAGAATTACTGAACTCGTCATTTCTTAATTAAGCACATTATGTAATTCATAATTTGTCAATCCCTTTTAATGGTAGTAGAAATTAATAATTATATGACTTAAATGTTATGAGTGCATTTCTTTAGGATCCTTAAGTTGCCAAGGAAAATGCTTCTCCTGGTTACGTTTTTATTTATTCATTTTATTTATTAGCATTATCATTACTCTTTCGCAATGGTATTACTTCATTTCTCCTATTCTGTATCCTGACATTATGTTATTAGTTTATTCAGTATGTTGAAACTATTCATTGATTACTGTATAAATTAGTTACCCTTTATTTAGTGTTCAGTTCTTATTATTGACAGTTTTCTAGTTCATTCAATAACAATCCAACAGACGTGCCTAAAATCAATAAATAGTGAAATAGTTTACTGAGAATTTACATTTTAATGTCTAGTGACTTGCTTTGTTCTCTCTCTCCATATATATATATATATATATATATATATATATATATACATGGTAAGGGTGAGCTACTTTTAAAAATTTTATTTATTTAATAAATTGAAAAACACAAAGTTCTCTTAACCATAATCATTCATTTTATTCACCACTTATTTTATTATTATTTTTATCCTGATGTTTAATTTCTTTTACTATACAGAGAAAGTCACAGTGAAATCGAAAGGAAACGTCGTGAACGAATGAAATTAGAAACAGAATTTCTACACCGTCAAGTACCACATTCACAATGTAAAGATAAATTATCCATTTTTCTTGCTGGAGCCGAACGACTTATTCATTATAACAGTATGTTTGATGCTTATTAATTACTATAGTAATCATAATGACCATCATCATTATTGTTATTATTATTATTATCATCACTATCATTATCATTTTTTTAAAATATACTGTATACTTTGTTTAGATAAATTAGGAAAAAGGGAATATATCATCAATGATGAAGAGTATTCACGAATTGTTATCAATGTAAGATTTGTTCATTTCACCTATTCATCAAATATATGTACATTTTTAATACATATATACTATTAGACTATTAATGGATTTGGTATACATGTCAAATGTTCCAGTGGTGAAATATTATATGAAGAAAACTCTGAAAAAGTACTTGATATTCCTCAAGTTAGTTTTCCAATGATTATTTTCATGTGATGTGAACTGTATTATTGTTGTTATAATTTTTAACGAAATGGAGTTCATAAGCAAATATAATGTATCTGAAAATCTAAACCTAGTCACATAAGTGTTTAGATTAGCATAAGTGACTCTCAAACACTATGATCCCTGGTATTTTTTGTTTCCGCTTAAGACTCATTGAATATGAAACTGTACACATGATCACTAATAATAACTTGATAGTCTAGATTGGCTCTAGAATTTTATTTCTGGAACTTGTGTTATTTCTTATCTAGCAACTGTCTAACTGAATACACCATAGTGAATAGTAACCTAACCTATAATTATGCGAATGAAACTTTCGAAATGAAATTCACAGGAAGAATCTAAGTAAAGACTATCAGTTTATAAATTAAGTTTACAATGCTATTGAAAGGCAGTATGAATAAAACCTTTATTCGTCAATCAAATCTACTCTTACATTTTAAGGTTATTAATCCAAAAACCAGTGCTTTTTCTGAAATACTTTAAGTGCAAGTCCACAGTTTTCACTAATACACAGTAACGTGTAGTGATTTTCTTGTCTACATTAATAAAGTATTTGTCAGACAAATAGCAATTTTTATAAAGAAGAATGAAGGTAGTTCAACCTAGAAAATTTTCTATCCGACGATTTCATTCTCTTTGTTGAATCACCTTCTTTCTTCAGTGATACAATGGGTCTCTTTCGTTATTGACTATTTTCTTGTCATAAGTCAGGTGACTATTCAAGAAGTAGGTTACGTTTTATTTAAGCATCAAGACCTGATACAATATTACAACAAAAATGCGTCACACAATTATCTAGCATCAAATGGTCGTTTGTAAATTAAAAGCTATGAGTCAAATTTTAATGAAAAGCAATCCCACTCTATATTATGTTTAGTTATTGTAGAGGATCATCGGTAAAAATAGAGTGTATTACAATTAATCATTGTTTTACGTACATTTTACTTGTAAAAATTCGAATAGCCTGTTAAATAAAACTTTCACACTAGTGATTATGTACCGGTTATCTTCAACTGTACAGGTTTTTCGACAGTTCTGCCTTTACAATATGTCTCATTACAAGATATGGATGTTGGTCACATTATCGTAAAGCCTTTGTAATGTATATTTTACGCATGAATATCAATATAATTGTGTCTTTCTTCTGAAGACCGGTGACTTGGTGGCCATAGCATTCAATTTTCAGACGATCAGTGGTAGGCTGAAATCTTGATTCGTCCACTTCATTTCGGGTAGTTGGATGCAAACTGACCACAAGCTCACATACACACAAATGTGGCTTAAAATAGATAGACAAAACTATACGCGATTAGTAACTGATATGATTCTTACAATGAGTGAACAAGGGAGAAAATTTACTAAACACTATGGTGTTTCCACCTCATAAACTTATATATTTAGCACCACAATAAGTTATAAGGTTTGATGAACTCGTGTTTACATTATGAGTTGAAAATACTTAATTAATTCGTTAAAACAAGTCGTAAACCGAGAAATGCATTATAATACTTAAGCAACTGAGCAGACTACTGTAATCAGATTAAATTATGATCCGAAATTAAAGGTTATGAAGTCGCGTATGTTTTTCGTTAGTTATTCCTTAATTATCATTAGAAAATTTTTTAGCATTATCAATAAAGCTATCTGACTACTAATGATTCTTTCAATTGTCTTTTATATTATGCTAACATTATTTGCTGTTTGTTTTCCATTTTGTTCTAGAGTAGTTTTCTAGGCAAAACAATTTATGATTTAGCTGAACCAAGTGTTAATACAAAAAGAATTATCACTGATAGCCTCATGTTTTATGGTTCAGAGATGCAGCAAGCAAGAGATGGACGTAAGTAATATTGAAATATATTTATGCCATTGTAAAATATGTATTCATATTTAAATTATTTTCGTGAACATTCTATTTCCTCTTACACTGATGAATCTCAAGCAAATTTACGAAGCTCTTTTTTTCTAGACTATAAATCACATGTGCAACATTTTTGTACGATCTAAACTTATTATCCAATGGTTATGTCGTTGAAATACAGGTCAGTTTTAAGTCAAAAATCTTTCACTAAACGATGTTAGTATGTTTTATTTGCCATAATCCTATTTAGCATACAAGGTTAATTAAGTGACTTATTTTTACTAACCTGATTGATACGAAATATCAAGTGAACATAAACAAAACCTTTCAAATCATTTACCAGTTTTCTTTGAATTTAGCGCACAGTTTACGCATACATCTTTCATATATATAGCTAAACATATCGATACCCTTATTAACGAATCTAACCACTGTGCTCATAAGAAACTTGTGCAGTCATTATCGGAATATTCAACACTAGGCTGAGTTACAAATAACTTACTATACAATTTCTTTTCTTTGCCAATGTCTTTTTCCCAAAAAATTCTTTTCGTTTTTTTGTTATAAAACTGTAACATTCACTTCACATTTACGTAACTGTTATCACTATTCGAATTATCAGTCCTCGTAAAGCATTCTCTAATATTATACCATTACTTACGCCTGTTACTCCATAGGGCATAGAGTGCCGACCAGGATTCTCACACTAACTTTATACTGGGCTCTCCCTTTCAGTTGTTGCCAAATACCATTCATTCTTTTGATTTCACCCTTGAATTTCTGGCGTAGTATGAGTTCTTTGGTGTGCTTCCTTTGCTTTTACTTTGAGGATTTTAAGTTAGGGCTTGCCTCGTGACGCAGTTTGATGATTTCCACAATGTGTTTCCTATGCGCCTCCAGCTTCTTTTCTTAATTTCCTCAGCTGGGATCTGGTTTGTTTTTTGCTGCATAAGGTTGTTGCTGCTGTATTATCTTATGCAGTGAATCAACTCTATAACTAAATGTGTGTCAATTCATTCATTTAATAATTATAATATCTTTCTCAATAATTACTACCGTACCCACGACCCGATCTTCCAATTAATCTTTCAATCATTCAGTTATTTTCATAAACGCATTATTATTATTATCTAACACTACCGATTCGGAAATCGAAACTGAGAGTTTGTTGAATAAGATTTCGAGTGCGCTACTGCAATAAGAGCAGTTAACTATTTTCGAACATGAAATATTGCACAATAGACTTTGTAACCTTTTAACATTGAGAAATGGCACAGTTCAAAAAATCAACACCAAAAATTATTGTCAAATAATAACTTGTTATAGTTACCTGAATATTTGTAAATTCTATAGTTTAAATCACGAACTGATCTTAGATAGAACACTACTAAAAACTGGGAGGCACTGAACAACTTTTTCGTCTTAGTATAAAACCCCTCGGTGATGCACATCCATGATGTCTCCATAGGGGACAGAAACGCAGAATCTTTGACCTCGCAAGCGACCGCTTCACAGTTGATTTGGCATCCGACGGTGTACATATATGACTTCAATCAACTTACAATTTTACCCAATTATCATCCATTGCATGTAATGGTTAACAATCTCCCACTCGACGTTGTTGAACTCCACTGATTATAGCTTCGCTTGGAGTTGCATCTTGAATTCAGTTATTAATTATAATATTACCATTCTCAGTATAGATAAAATCATTCAAATGCCAGAGGACTTTCCGAGTAACTCAGTTCAATGCTATTAGGTTTTGAGTGATGTTCTAGTTAAAATCAGTCCATGATTTAAAGTACAAAAGTCCTACAATCTTCACAAATCTTTATACATTGATGTTATTCATAACTGTTTATGATTTATAAATGTGTACAGTGTGAAATTTCAGCAAATCATGTATGTATTTGAATGTGAATATTTTGTAAAGAAATCATGAATTTAAAAAATCACCATTCAGTGTGTTGCGGTTAGATTAGATTGAACAGTATTTAAAATTTCGTTGAGACTCTCTATTTTCATGTTCGAGAGGTGTTTTTTGCAGGGAAGAACAACTATTGGTCCACTTTTTAAGCTTAATGGTTTTTTAATGATATCGGTTGGTAAGAAAAGCTTTCCTCAAATTAATCCTTTCTTAAGAGCTACCGAATTGGTTGGTAACCTACTTTTTGTCCATTGGTAATTCACCTGAAATTATTTTTCTCAATGTTCCTAGAAATTTCGTTATTGGATCCAAAAAACAGTCAAGCTACAGTAGATGTTTACTGAAATAAAATTAACTGTTAATGGCTAACCATGGATGTATTCATCATAACACCCAAAGGACATTGCTCCATTCTCTTAAGGTGTGGATGCTGTGTACCGCTATGCCTTGGTTGTTGATTCCTTCCACTCTACTTTATTTATCTTATTGCATGAAAAATCTTCAGACATTTATTTTATAAGCTGAAATAAGTCAAGACTTATTTTTCTAAGATTCAATAACAAATGACTAGTTGCGCTAAAAAACGAGACTCAATAATTGGAATATTCAGTGTGTAATTTTAAGCAACACATTTAAACATTTGCTTATTCTCCTCTTATTCTAGACATTATGGTTTTTGTTATTTACGCGTTTATAGACCTCATTTCACGAAACTTCATCATTGCCATGCGTTGCGGATCTGGTATTCCAGTAAAAAATTGTATACGTGGTTCTGATGGTCAACTGTATCGATTTATAGAATTCTGTGGAGATATTGTTTATCAAAGTATGTTATTGTTTGTTTAAATGCGTTATTATCTTTAGAAGAAAAAAAATCAACACATTTTTCTGTTTGCTGATAGATTTATTCTTCTTGTTTACATTTTCTTCCAAAAATCATTTCCAACCATAAAGAGATAATTATAATCCAAAAAGTTGTCAGCTTTGAGGCAAAATATATCATTTAAAAATTATATCATGTGAACTCAGGATTGTTAAATAGAGTAAAATTGTTAATTTTGAGATGACTAACTTGCAATGTCAACTTGAATCAGCTTATACGTTAAATGAAATTATGAGATTCATTAACAGAATAAATATGGGTCAGATAGAATGAGAGAACTAATAGTACAATTACAAATTTAATCCAATGTCCAGTAAAAGACTATATTGTGTATAAAGTTATATGAAATCAGTAAGTGGTGAGTGCTAGGTAGATTAATCCTGTGTTCGAGAGACTAATGTTAAACCAATAATAACAACAATATAAAGATATGTGAGTAAATATAACGAAGGGGATTATATTTAACTAAGAACGGCTGTATGTACATTAGTCAGACTGGCTAATTCACTAGTTAAGATTATTATTAATTAAATAGTCCTGATATTGGTCATTGCAAGAGAAGAGGTTGGAGATATTTCTTTTGTATACACAGCTACGGTTTTTTAATCTGAATGGCTTTTGCCTATGCCTGTTGGTCAGATTTAACTTTATGCATTCTAAACTTAATCATGATGTTTATTTATTATTATTGTCGTATTGATAATTTTTGAATTATTACTCCCGTACAATTAGATGATAATGATTGTTCCGAAGCTTATTATTTATTCCGTGGTGTCTGTCGCCCTTTGGACATAGCCTGTCCAACTGTTCCCGATAATTCATTTGAAAGACCCACTTCACCTAATAAAACTATCAGTTCTGATCATGTTACTTTACGGATTGGAGTGAATACTTTGTCAATAACAGAAGTTGTTGGAAAGTGAGTGCTACTATTCTTCTTGCTTATGAATAAGTTATTGACTGTTCCCATTTATTAAATAACAGTATAATATAATCGACAAGCATTAGGTCTAATGATCAAGTCTAATTAACTGCAGAGTGAAAGACCCGCAGAACTGATTTCTTCAATTTCCGATGACATTTTTTCTAAGTTGAACTCAGGAGTCAATCTAAGCTAGACCACCATTGAAAACCTGAAAGCACTGGAAGGCTATTTCGTCCTAGTATGGGACTCCTCAGCAGTACGCATCCACGATCCCACACGTGGAACTCAAACCCAGGACCTTCAGTCTCGCGCGTAAACGCTTAACATCTAGACCATTGAGTTGGCATCTAACGTTGTTAAAGGTTAAATTCGATCGATCCATGATCTTGCGCAATTCTTCATTCATTGTCTGAGGTGAACAAATGTCTCATACCCAACATGGATTGGACTCCACTGGTCACAGCTTGTGACTAGAACTCCAGGAAACTTATCTTGAAGCTAGTCACTTGTGAGCACATGATTATTGTCGAAATTGTAGTAATTTAACGGTTGAATTCATGAGTCACTTAACATTATGACCTTTATGTTTTTCATTTTTGTAATGAACAAGAACACAGGTGTGGACGACTGATTTGTTTAATACAAAATTACAGAATATCTTGGTAAAATATGAGAACCATACATTGACTAATTCATTCGTAAAATCCTATCATTTGTCCTTCACACTCCGTATGATCCTTCCAGTTCACAATTCCTTTCAACTTCCATTTCTGTTTTCTTTAACTCGATCTTTTTAACCTTCTACTACCAGCCATTCAACTTTTAATTGGTGTGACATACTACTTATGTCGACAGACATAATTAGCATACACCACAATATTTTCAAAGTAGAATTCACGAGTCAATCTAAGCTGTAAATATATATTTGATATATAAGGATACCATTCTATTAGAAAAAATACCTATTCATCTGATTAGTGGTTTTGTCAGCAGTCATCACTCAGCCAAATGGTATCATGGAATCTTACCTATCAATAACTATTCTATTTATTCATTTTTACAACCGGAAATTCGTTTATCAAATCAAAAATTATACTCTTAACAACAGTGATAATATAGAAACCGATTGTTAAATGTGAATTACATTGGATAAGTGCAAGTAATTATGTATTCAGTTAATCCAATCCCAAATAAGACCTATTAAAACACCCTTTACAGATCATTAATGTAAAATAAAATACAAATGAAACCCTCAGTTCATACAAAGATACCATTGTATAACCGCTCTTTCAGAAAATGCCACAGGTCCTGCATCTACTTTAACTTGAATGTCAATTACCCAGTAAGTAAATACAAATATTATTTTCCTTAAGCTGAATAAACAAAAACGCACTTCGATTTTCTACACCAACAAATACAGCACCGAAACATAAATTCGTCTACAGTACGTTGGGATTCATATAAATCTATTTCAACTCCGTAACCGTAAATCAGTCTGCTTTTAATGTTAATACCCTATGTAAAATCTGCCTTTCAATACAATAAATCATATACAGCTGTCTTATGATTGGCTGAAACGGTTTTAGATCTTCAAGCCTTTTTTGCAACATAGCTGTTTTATCATAGTCTATCCCCTCCTAAATAGTTTAAAAGGTTTACTCAAGAGAAATGTTTACCAGTACACTCAACTGACATCAGTTTGTTGTCAACACCATCTATTTCATCTTCGGAAAACATGTTTTTAAAAAATATAAACTGTGACCGTGGTGTCTATTCGTTCGTCGGTATTACCAATAGTGTTTGTATAAAGTCCCCTGTACTTGTGATTTTCCATCATTTCTCTGTAGCTCGTTTTATGCAGTGATTGGTTCTTCCGTATCTCCGAGTAGGACTAAACACCAAAACTGCATACACTACATTAACATCTAATCATTGTTCTCGAAATAGAAATACCGTAACAATGTCTAACTTTTTTTAACACAACTTTCTGAGTTTATGTTTTTAAATAACTCATAACCATCAATTTACAATGTATACATATTAGACACTTTTTATTCACTTTCCCTTGAGTTTTCCCAACTATTTTTAATCCACTTTTAAACATACGTACGCAGTTATTCTTGATGGTATTATATTTTTCATCCTATATTTGTTTATTATTGCCCAAATTTCTTCAGTTCACTATCAATACTTGGTTGGGATGCTAAAGATTTGTTGGACAAACATGTTGAAGAATTTGTTACCATTCCTGAACAAAATATTGTCACACACGCAATACAAGAAAGTAAGTTACAGACTTTTATTTACATGAAAATCTTTCTACATTTTATGGACATAAGTTATATGTATCACAGCGGACACCGAGTTTTCTCCCTAAACATTTATTCATCACAGGTCAGATTCTGTCTTTCTAAAAGTTCGCGGTTGCGTCGAAAGTATTAAAATAGACATCATTGGCAAATGATGTGCTTTGCCACATCAAAAACAAAGAAATGAATTGTAGGAATCTGAAGGGATGTGGTAGTAGTGAAAGTCAGAAAGACTAAATACTGGGAATATGGTTTAAAAAGATACAGCGGAAAGATATATATCGACGAATAATGTGATTCAAGATCCAGAGAAAGATAAACAGTGGATGCATCTGTGTCATTGTGGCAACTACTAACAACGGTTATCATATGGACCTCAATTAGATAGTCTGCATCTACTAGCACAGCTCAGGCCAACAGTCAGTCATTTTATGGACTGATACCGAGTCGTGGTTTGGCCTTACCCAACTTCCACTAGCTAAAATAACTCGTCTTGGTTGGCATACGTTACACATGTCCTAGTCAGGAAAGTTTGTGAAGTTACTGATGGCTGGTATGAGCCACATAGAGACGTGGAAACCTTGGAGAAATTGCAATGTAGACCTCGATACTTTGAAAAGACATATGAATTTCATTCAGTATTGAACTTGTTTGTATCCAGCAATTATAATTAACTTCTTTATTATATTATAGCTGTTAAAAATGGCTTATCTACAATATTTATTAATTGGTTAAACCATGGGAAAACAAAGTCAGTGTACTTGAAAGCTGTGTTTACAGCCATCCAATTGAATACCTTTCTTTACTGTATTATCTGCAAGCTATATTCAACTGAGTAAGTCAATTTTCTTCCCATCAAGTATGCATTTAATTACTAATACCGAAGTTGAAATCAATAGAATAGTAGACTTTGAGTAGATAAACCGAAACTCGTATTTTCTATTCAAAATTAATCATACGTTTAGAATTCAGCCTGATAATTTGAACTGTTAGTTATACGATATGTATACTTGTGCTGTATATATGTGAATCGAATCTTTATAGACTAATTGATTTAAGCTCATAAAACACTTGTTCTTCTCAACTAATTAGCAATTTCAACTATTTAGTATTTTTGGAAGGTTATCCAACACATATTTTATCATTATAATGTTATAGAGATTGTTGAATTGAATTGAAATCACGAACTGATCAAAGTTGGTTGTTTAACTTCGATCGCTTCGTGATTTCAATATATGTTTACGCTCCATCAGCTTCGTGTTTGTTAGTAACGAGAAAACTAACACACAGTCAACATCGTTCTATTTATCAATTAGTAATACTCACAAATTAGTTGGATGATATTGTCATGTTTTAGTAGGTTGATCAGTTTCCGTTTTAACAGTGTCAAACATTGTTCAGCATGACTGTCGGACTTGTAGAATTTTTTATGACATAACCCTACCTCGTTTAAAATCTAAGCAGTGGAAAGTCACTTTCAATCAAAAGGTAACCCAGCGATTAAAGCATTATGAATTTGAGCCCTACCTCACCCATTTCATTGTGAGTAGATGGGTAGCATCCTTGTCATCTATATGAAGTATGGCTCGAGGATGAATACATAGACCTGTACATGATAAAGTTACAAATAAAACAAAGAAAAAGTAAAAAAAATTGAATAGTATACACCTCTTATTTCTAGATATCCTGCGTTAACTCAATCCAAACCAGAACCACAGACACCGGTTTTCAAATCACCAGAGTACTCAGAATTACAAGTAACTAATAACGAAACAATTGCTCCATTTGACTGGAACGATTCATTTAACTACAACACTACAACTAAAATGAAATCAACTGAATTTTCAATGGGATCATGTCAGCATACAACTAACAACAGCACTGATAATACACCAATCTGTAGACCTGATACACTAAACGTTACAAATGAACATCATATTGATCTAGCAAAAACCGATGACGATGGACATTTTCATGCTTTGGATATTCCTTACAGATCTATGCAGGTAATGAAATTTCATTTGGTCCTGTATGACTTTAACAGAGCATTAATGATTATTAAGTAAAAATTCAATTTGGTGCAAATGACAATTTAATAATTATAAGTCGCTTGTTTTTGTATGTAAGTTTTTGTATTAAAATAGTAAAGTGCATTTTAATAATATTTTTTTATTAGGAAACAAATGGACAATGTTCAGTAACTAGTATATCCAATAAAAATGACACAACGCATATTGTTCCATCTACATGTACTTATGGTGAACATTTTGAAACACTTCAACATCCTATTTTCTCTCTTGATGCAGATGACATAATTTCTGTTGAAACTAATCAAACAAGTGACTCCAAATACTTGCCAGACAATAGTATGTTTAAAAAAATATTTTTGTTACATCAAACTTTATATTCATATGTAAATACCTTTTGAACCCGTGTAAAACGAACTGAAATGCGGGTAGCTAATAAGACCGTATGATGGACAGCCTATTCTTGAAATTATAATTCCATTGTTATCTACAAGGAAGATCACACGCAGAAGTTCATTGTGAAAAACGAAAACTGCTTATCTCGATATCATTATTCCGAAAATATATGGATAGTTTTTTAATTAGCGATAATGCATAACAACTATTATATTGCATAAGCTTTTCGAGTTTAAATTAATAAAATGTTCTTCCTTTTAAAGTAACTTCACAGATACATGAACAGTTACCTTGAAACCGACTCCATACAGTATGGTACATTCGTCATTACCAAGTAGGGTAATAAAAAAGCACTGGTGAAATACAGACTTCAACCGTGAAATTAATGTACTTTAAGTTTCATTTTGTTTGACAAAGCATTGGAGTAACTGAAGTTATTGAACTAATATGTTACCCATAAATCAGATGACAAGATTACTGGGCAGTTAAATAATTTTAGTTCAGGATAAAAGTCAATTTTTACAAAACCCACCGGATGATAAACGATTGATCAAAAAATGAGAATATTGCAAAGCGACTAACGGTTCGCAACAGTATTCACAAGATATATTTTAAACTCACGGTGGTCCTATTTGTAATAGGATATTATAATAGTTAATTAATATAATATTTACTGCAGAAAGTCATCTTATCCTAGTGCCCTATAAAGTATTCTAGTCTAACCGACTAAAGTAATTTCACTGAATGTTATCATCCTCGCCGGTTAATCTGAAGTTCCTGGGTTCTATTTTGTGCAAGTATTCGTGAACGGTTCTAAATTAAGATGGAACAACTGATCCGGTACAACCTAGTTTTCAGATCGATTTCAATAGTATCTTCAAAATTTTTATTACGTTTACCGTTATATCTTGATATGATGAACTCGTTGTTCATTCTATTCATTGACAATTATTTGATTCAACTAACTGAACTAATTCAATTTTTTTAATACAGCAAATGACTTGAAGTACAATAATAACGATGGACAAGATTGGCGCCAACTTCCATTGAATACTAGTTTCAGTAGTATGTTTTCTGAAAGTGGACTACCTGAATTATTCAGTTCTGATTATATAAAAGATTTGATTGAAGAAGATGTAACCGACCTGTGATGTTTTTCTTGTTTCAATAATTTCAAAACCTTTACTACCTATGAAGTATGTGCAATCATCCTTTTTTAATTTTAAAACTCGATTACAGAATAATTATTATTTTTCAAACGACTGATTTCACTGACTGCATAATTATCCTCTGTACAACATACAAAAAATATTCTTGTGAAGTAAAAATTCTTCATTTCCTAATATATTTTGTATTAAATGATCTTGTGAATGATATTTGCAAATTATTTAAATGGATTAAAAACAGACAATATGAACTACCTTTACTACTGGTCTGTTGCCATATAAATGTTACTACCAGACTTGAAGAAGTATGTTTAATGCTCTTCTAATTATTTGACACATGTAATTACGATAGATTAAAAGGATAATGATTCATAGGCTCAAATCTTTAAAACCAGCAGAATATGGTGTAAAGGGGTTGGTTAACCAATAAGGTCGGGAGTAGATGATGAACTTTCAAAATGACTGAGAGTATGACACATGGAAAAGAAGTTGGATTAGTCTCGATGGTCTTACTGGTACGCAAGCTTGACTGTTAAGCTTAAGGGAAGACTCGTTCACGTCAGTCAGGCACAAAATGCTGATGGACACTCATTTGATTCTGAACCACTAAAAAGCGACCATGGTCTTTCCATTTATCCTTCATAATATATGTGGCAAACACTAACAATCCTACAGAAATTATAAGTCGGAAACCTATCCAGTTCATGGGGGATTACGCACTGAAATCTTTCCGCAGTAAATTTTAAGCCTCGATAAATACCGGCTTGTACTTTCCAATTAAGTTCTACTTTTAGCCACGATTTCAAAAATATTTCCTATAGTTCTTATGGAATTTTTCGATAGTGTAAAGTGCAAATCATACGGATAAATGTTATCTCTGAACACAAAGACCAATAGTTTTATATATCAAAACTAGAATGACTGGCTTATGGACAAAAAGACATCATTAAATTAACAAAGAAGAGTCACGAAACTAGGTGTGGTTCGCATAAATATATATACAGAATAACCTATTCTGTTGCATGCAAATTTTAATAAAGACGAATCATACCGCCGTTAAATGCTTAGGAGGGACTGAAGCCTTCCACATTGGTGTAATCTACTTGCACAAAATGAGGGACGAATTTATCTGTTGCTAAAATCTGGTTCCCGACCGAAGCTGCTACCTTGACGCGGTGGTCGGGCTTGCCTATCGTGATGACCCAACCGAGCTATATTGGCTGGAACATATGTTCTACCATGCCAGGAAGGTCGACTGGAGAACGGTAAGACTAAAAGCAGCAACTCAAGGTCTGAGGGCGAAGTCGTACTGCTGACTGTAGAGGGGTGTGACAGCAGTAAGGTGTTTCCCTCGTATAACCAGCATCTGCAGCGATGCTGCCTTCGCACAAGGAGGGGTGGGGTTAGAAAAGGTCGACCCTAAAAATGTCTCACCTTACCTCACGGATTTCCGTCTCCGGCGGTAAGGCTTTTTGAAGAACGGAGCTAACTCATTAAAAACCTTCCACAAAAAAGCCGTGCGCGACCGGACTCAAGCAGTTGTCCCTTGGGCTCTGCGACCACGCTCCCAGGTCGTTAAGACCAACACTAATCCAATTTCATTTCCCGGTTCCTCAAAAAATACCCTTCCACGGTGTGGGCAGCCGGGAAGTGATATCAGCCCTCATACCCGTAACAGCGCACGAAACCAAGTTGGTCACATTCAAATCCTTCCTACACCTCCTAATACCTCTCTTATCTCCATGACTAACCCTCCTCACGTCTACTCAATGATCGTGAACAGTGGTGGGTAGCGAAAGCAAGACAGATGGAAAAGGCAGCGGCAATAGGTAATAGCAGACAATTGTTCAGACTTGTTAAGGAAACCGGTATTAGGAAACTGACTGTTAGCGAAACACTCTCAGAGAACGATGGACATATTATACACTCTCAATCCAGGAGATTGGATCGATGGGCAGAACACTTCAGGGATCAGTTCAACTGGCCTTCAGGCACACTTCGGTTTCCCACGATCTCCAGTCAACCTGAATGGCAAGTTAATGTAGGTCCCCCGTCTCTTTATGAAGTTGAAAAAGCCATAGGAAATCTGAAGCGAGGGAGAGAAGTAGGCCCTGACAGATTTACTCGAGATTTTTAAGGATGGTGGTTCAGTATTAGCAGTGAGATTAACTGAGGTCTTAGGTAGAATTTGGGAACTAGACGTAATCCCATCTGACTAGTCTCAATCACTGATTGTGCCAGTCTATAAGAAAGGACAAAAGTCCTCTTGTGACAATCACAGAGGAATCAGTTTGACTAATATAATGTCTAAAATATTAGCTTCAATAATACTTCGACGCCTAACCAAAGCTCGTGAAGAGCAGACTAGAGAAAATCAGGCTGGTTTTCGACCTGGACGTGGTTGTATAGACCAAATATTCACACTACGTCAGGTTCTAGAACACAGACACACGTTTAGACGCCCCACAACGGTAGTATTTCTCGACCTTAAGGCGGCATTCGACTCTGTTGATCGTGAGGTTCTATGGCAGTGTTTGTCACTGAAAGGAGTACCAAAGAAGTACATTAACCTTATTCAGGCTCTCTACTCGAACACAACCGGTAGAGTGAGAGCTTATGGCGAACTGTCATCAGAATTGATTACACCCGAACTAATGATAGGGAGTGAAGTAGTTGAATGTGTCGACCGCTTCACTTATCTTGGAAGTCTCATCAGCCCTTGTGGTCTGGTGTGTGACGAAATCTCAGCACGGATACAGAAGGCTCGACTAGCTTTTACCAACTTGCGTCATTTATGGCGTAGGCGAGATATCCGTCTACCAACCAAAGGACGTGTTTACTGCGCAGCAGTTCGTCCCGTCCTACTTTATGGCAGTGAAACATGGCCGGTAAGAGTAGAGGATTTTCGTAGGTTACTAGTATTCGATCATAGGTGTCTTCGAAACATTGCTCGTATGTCATGGGACCATCGAGTAAGTAACACAGTTGTTATGAAACGGGTACTAGGTAAAGATGGCAAATCAATTGATGAAGTGGTGAAACTTCATCAGTTGAGATGGCTGGGACACGTGTTACGTATGCCCAACGACCGACTGCCTCGACGTGCGATGCTCAGTGGTATAGGAGTAGGTTGGAAGAAAGCTAGAGGCAGCCAGACCAAAACATGGCACAAGTCCATGAAGTCACTGACAAGTGGTCTGAGTCATGTTGGTAGGTGTAGACTACCCGGTTGGGGACCGCGAGATGATAGCAACCGATGGTTAGAGACCCTGAATGACATGGCTCAAAATCGTTTGCGATGGTGCAAATGCATCCACTCTTTGTGTTCTCCGAAATTCTAATCTTCTGAATTCTTCATGTCCCTTTTTTTCCTCTTTCCAAATTTATTTCATTGAATTATACTCTTTAAATAACATCTCCAAACCCTAATCTTCCCGATCACTGCTTACATTCTTGCTACCTCTACCACTACGGGATTTGGATCGACAAATGCATCTCTGTGTTAAGGTGGTGTGGCAACTTGAACTGATGTACGTACGTACGAAGTTCTACGTTGTTACTGACTGACTGACTGACTGAAAAACTTTGAATATAGCACCCAGAAGTGTACAAGAGGATGATTTTAGAAGTTCATTTCCCTATAGGATGAAAAAGACAACATTATTGAGAATCCAAGTGACCTAAATTAACCTACTACTGCTGATTTGCTTTAGAAGTGTTTAAGATACAAGCAATTATTCACACTTTATCAAAAGCTGGTTTTGTTTTACTATATACACTCTTAGCCACAACCAACTTTAACCCACAATGTTAACTGGCAAATGCTTAAGCTGAATACCACCCGGATATAACTCGCGCAATATTTGGAGATACTGGGGATTAAGATTTGAGATAGGTTAAAGTGGTACAGTCGCAATAATTTTATTTCACTTTAAATTTCAAGTCTATTGTTATCCTAAACTTTCCACCTCTGAATCTGATTTGCTTCTTTTGAAATAATTCATTACATTTAGCTTTCAACTTCAAATGGTATTATCACTTCTCTTCTTATTCCCATCTGGTCAACCTCCTATCATTATGTTGATATGAAATGTAGTCATTTAGACTGTTATATATTCATTGTCTAAGACTGACCAGAATGTGGGTACTTTGAAAAATATGGACAGAAATAAGCAAAAATGAAAAGTCGGCAACTGTTAAACCACCTTGCCTGAAGCTTTTAAATTTTACTGTTTCTAACAAACACGCTTCTGTTTAAAATAAACCGTTGAGTGTGCTGTAGACATAAACATACTAGATATACTCTAATTGCATTTACATGCTCAAGTTGGACACATGCGACTTAAGCGGAGTTTTTCTGTAAATTACCAACCATATCGGAGTGTGAATATGTATTATATAAACAGTTGTTTGCCTGATACTACAATTCTTCTGATTTGAGTGTGATAGTAGCAGGATCTATCCCCACTTTACTTAATATTTCTTGTTCAGTTGTTTTTTCTCCAGAAAAAGAAATCAGTTCTTGTAGTGCCTTCCAAGCTGCTTTTTTCCATTTGTTTGTAACAGTTTCTAAATTTACCATTTCATTCTAAAATAAATCAGTGGTTGTAACTTACCTCATTATCGTATCGACACAACAGTTGTAGTTTTCTTAATACTTCTTTTTTATCATCGCCTGATATCCCTCTAATTCTTGGATTAACGTACTAAAAATAAGTTGAATATATAGAAGTGATTACTGGTTGCTTTCTTGCACTCGTCATATTTTGGTCACATGTGTGATTAACAAATTTAGACTGATTTCTAAATGGAGGAAAAGTATACCGAAGATGACTTTATACTACTCACGTGAATTTAATGTAATACTTAAACTATTCATACTACACTAACACCAAGGTCAATTACGATAGATTTTAAAATAAAAGCAATTTTATGTATGCTTATCATATTTGCATCGACATAGTGCTTGGGCATGGTTTATGAACTTATCCAGACTTCATTTAATTATTTCTAATAGGACTATCTTTGATTTCTTTCTCCCTTGTTTGTTCGTCAGTGGCAATTTCATTATTTTCTGGAGAATTGTTGTTCTTCAACTACATGGTGCTGTGGGCTAGTGGGACCCTGCACAATGAACTACAGCGTGTGGCTAGTTGACGATCAGACAGGTAATGTGCTCTGCTGATTACAAAAAGCCTAATTGTACAAAGCAAAACTTGGTTTATGAAATGTCAGAGGATGGTCCTAAGTAGCCTATAGGAAGCAATGCGTGACAGAAGAATTACAAGATAAAATACAGTAATCGAACCTAGAGACTAAACTAAAATAAAATCCATATATTGTACGTTGAAGACCAAAACCCAACCACTAAAATGAAGAGAATTATTAAGGGTCAAATAGACAACGGAAATAATCACAAAACGTAGAATGCGTCAACTAAAACTGTGCATGGATTCACTGAGGGCAACTTTCTCCCAACTATTTGAAACACTTATCCAAAAAAGATCCAATAGAAATAATAAATATGAGCTAACGATTTATAAGAATAGGCTAAATGTACGGATAAAGACTGTGACAGAATGCTTGGAACAATGAACAAGCATTTCGGAAACTATCACACCTCAGCCTAATTAATAATCATAAACCTGGACAAACACAAATGTCCGCTCATTGACTACTTTAAAATCTTTAGAACAAAAGCACATCCAAACGTCTCATACCCAATAAGAACAAATCGGAATGCTTCAAACAACACGCAAATCCAAAGATCAAAGTAAATGAACAATCGAACTAACCACATAATAACAATGAATATCAATCCTCATCAAGAGACTGATATGGAAAGGAGTTATCAGCCATTGTTATACACCGTACAAGTGATCGGGAATTACCGGACAGGGAACAAGACAGAAGCAACTGGCGCACATGTAGTTTTGCTGTTTCATCAATGAAACCCTTTAGAAGGGCTAATACCAAAAAGACTGGAAATCGAACGACCATATTGCTCTACTTACATCCTAGATGTTGGGTTATTTATTGATTATTTATTTGGACACTTAAATATTGGTACAAGATTGCACCAGATACATACGCGCCACACAAAATAATGAGAATTTAAAGAGAAGGAAAGAAAGGTAAGGAGTGTAAAGAAAGAGAACAATGGTGGAGAGATTGGTGTAGGGTAGTTTAATAATAATAATAGTAATAATGGGGTAACGGAAAGATACAATTAGAAGAAATTTTTCAGTTAAGTAAGATACAACCACTATTTATAAAGAAAGTAAAAGAAGGTCACAGCAGGATCGCCACTGGCTTCTATTCTGAGCCATATCTGAAAACGTCTCTAGCCACTGAGTTGCACCATCTCTCGGACCCCAACCAGAAAGTCGTGAAGGACCAACACAAGCCAGCCTTTTGCAGCTTTCTTTCATACCACGACACCATGTCATATACCAACCACCTCTCCGCTTTTTTCAACTAGTCCCAGTGTCGGCAAATAACGCTCGACGTGGAATTTTCCGGGACGACATTCGTAGGACATGTCCAAGCCACCGAAGTCGGTGTTTCAAGACGGTGACACCAATCGCATTATCGTCTCTGTGCCCGAACACACGATGCCGAACCTCTGCATTACTGACATGGTGTTGCCACTGAATGTCAGCAATCCTTCGGAGACAACGATGATCGAAAACAGAGAGTCGTCTAACGTCCACAACTCGGAGAGGCCAGGTTTCACAAGCATAGAGCAAAACTGCTCTTACCGACGCGTTGTAGATCCGATCTCTTACAGCCAGACTAACATCACGAAGGCGCCAAAGATGGCCCAGATTGGCATAAGCCGCTCTGGCTTTCACTATACGTGCATTGGTCTCATCACTCACACCCCCACCAGCACTTATGCAGCTACCCAGATACACAAACTTCTCGACTACTTCTATCTGCTCACCATCCAGAGTGAGTACAGGATTAGAATCCTGCCAGTCTTGTAGCAGTACTTTGCACTTTGAAGGTGCAAACGTGGTTTCAGAAAAACTGCTTCAGTACTCATATTCGGTGGTAACATACAATTTTCAACCGGACAGTGACTCGAGAACGTTTAGATACAGTCGAAATTCCACCCAAGACGAGCTGCTGTATAAGTCGAAAAAAATAAGTATAAACAGAGTGGGAATAAAAGAGGGTGAATAATGACGTAGTAAATAATAATAATAATGCGAGTCACTTGATTGTTATCTGGAGCGAGAGAAATATTTTTCATAAGTAGACAGTTTATCGTGTTTTTGTGTGTGGGCTGAGATACTGCCCGGGTGACCAGACCGAAGCAGGAGATATTGGGTAAGGGAATGGTACACAGATTACTCATGGAAAAAGTTCGTAAACGGCTTCGTTGCAGGAACTTATTAATGATTAGGCTCACTGAAGTCGCCTACATAAATTCGAACAGGATTTTGGACAGTTCAGTGAGAATTTATTAGCCTACCATCTGAAGGTTCACTATAGTAAGGTTTATTCAGCATAATATTATTTTAGTTTTGCATGATGCTGTGTTAGTTTATGCTTTTTCTGTTGTTTCACTATCTCCACAGATTATATGGATGTTATTTTTCGCATACAGTATACTTGTTATGCCTCTGTAACTTAATATGTCAGTTCTGCAGAGTAGGTAGCCTGGGATTCGCACTTTGACATCACTTATCTCTTAAGGGAGCCAGGTTTCAGAGATAAGTTTTCAATCCGTAGCTTTATTATTGAGTTTGTGAATTTTATTTAGCAAGTACTGGTGCGTTACGTTTAGTTTCGACTACAAAGACACCAGGCAGGTTCAAATTTTCCATTTTTGTTTATTTCTAGGTTGCCTTACAAAACGTTGAATTGGATTCCCAAGGTTTGCAAATGTTTCCAGGCGGTAATTTCCGCTGTGCAGTGGACTTTAAGACTACGGTTGTCATTGCATGATTGTTTACAATGAGCATAGTAGATTATCTGTCAAAGACTTTACACTAGCTAGATTATGTTTAGACGTAGTTTGAGATTTGTTAATGAGCGTTTCCGACTTGCGGAAGATAAATAAACCAAGTCTTTGCTGTGTACATGTTTTAGAAGACAGTTTCTTAAACGCATCAACCGGTGGAGTCAATAATAATTGTTCAAGTGGGGAGTTTTGGTCGATGACTGTCCAATGCATCACATCGAACATTTCTTACATATCGGAAAAGCCAATTCCAACTTTATTATTCACCGCCGTTTCTAGAAATTTCTTAAGACCTAGAAAAAACGTAGTTACTAACCACCAAAGACGATTTTTATCACGATGAGTTGACTGAACTCATTTATTTTGTGTTGATAATTATCCCTATAGACTTTAAAAGAGTAAAGGTTTCCAGACCAGAAACATTCCATAAACATACAAACTATTTGGTTTTAATCAGTATTATATACAGTATACTCCTTTTCCTTAATACATTATTGTCAAATTAGTAGATTGCATCTAGCCTAAAGGTACTTTTGGTGCTGAAGGTGAATGGTGTCAGTGAAGAGAACAAGGGAAACAAGAGGAAAAGTAAGCCAGTGGATCAGTATGCACATAAGACGGGCTAACATCATATATATGCAACAAACGATATCAATTTTTAATACTATGGGACTAACAATAAAACAACAACAAGAAGAAATAAATGATAATTTGGATCCGTAATACAGTATAAAGTCCAGTTTTTGGAAGGATCACGTCTAGGTCGAATGTGCTTAAAGTGCTGAGGTTGTGAGTGGCAATATATGGAAGTATTTAGAAAAGAGAAGAACGGTGAGATTATAAATTAGATGAAACAAAGAGACTTCAAACAGCAATTATTGGATTTCGGAGCAAGACTCACTAGCTAAGTCCAAACATGGACTAGTCCATACGCCTACATAACATTTTAGCATTACAGCTAATGTAAGATCATCATTTAAACAGTAAATGTAATTCGCAAACCCAAAGTAATACCATAAATCCTGACCCTAAATTCTCAACTGTAGCAAGTAGGTCACTTTTAAAGCACACAAGGTTGTTCGCGAACAACAATCTAACCAAAAAACAATAGACAAATTAAGTGAACAACATTACAAGCACACAAAATGAAAATGATCATAAATGACACATACATGGGATTAAGACAACCTGATAAGTAAAACCAGGTGTCGATAACGTGAGACTTCTAGCAACTTCAAATAATTTTCAAAACTTTAGGGTCATGGAAAACTAAGAAACAAACGATAATAACAAAAAGCGGAAAGTTCCTATGTTCAGTAATTTCAACACGAGCTTACCTTGTTCTCGAATCTTGATGTTAAGGCAAGACTACAAGTATCTCCGAATCACAGTTACTCAGATTTCTAATTCTTTTGTTTCAACGAATTTTTAGCGACGGTGCAATAACATGGATTTTTCGGTGTATGACTACCGAAACCTAATTTATTCTAGCTCAGACGATAACCTTCGACCTTTGGATAATGCATGAAAAATGGCAGAGTGAGATCAGGGTTCGAAGTGGAAAAATCATCAAAACTGCTGGGAACTCCAGGATGCTATATGTGCTATGACATTTACAGTATTTTCGCGTCGAAAGCCATGAACCAATGTAATAAGACTTTACAAATGTACGAACACCAGTATAGTTTGATATATTTGACTTCAACTCAAAATGCTGTCCAACATGTAATCTTTTTTTGGAGCAGAGTTTCTCAGTTGTTCGACTGAATCTCAATAGGAAAACCTTTCCTATCTGAAGTTCTGTACACTTCTTGTTGTCCATTTTTCTGTACGTAGTTAGTAAAGAGTATAAACTGTAAACTTTGCTGAACATTTCGCCCTCGCCGGTGTCAGGAAATTGTTGTGAAACGACAAAGCATGCCAAAAGATAATATTATAAACGTGTTGATCGATTTTGGCATGATCTAACGTGATGTTCTTGCACTGTATCTGTTGAACACAGAACTTATACTCGAACGTTAGAACCGTTGATGATGAGGTCAGACACAAAACAACTAATCATAATTCGTTTCGTATTTGATGTATGATGCACAGTTTATAGTTTGGCGGTGTCAATAAGATAGAAACAGTCAATTTTGAGCTAGCTATCTCATCATTTTATGTTCATGTTAATGATATCAAAGATGCCACAAGTAACTGGGCTTTTACAGCACTCTAACGAGTAAAACTATCTATAATCGAAACGTGCTAACCCAGTGAAATCAGAAGTCAGAAGCAAGCACTTTCGAAGATATATTTTATAGGTTATCGACATATTAGATCACTGACCCGGCATCCAACGGTGTTAATGTCTAATTTCAACCAATCCAAGAAGTTGCGCCAACGTACACCATTGTCTTCAGTGAGTTCCTATCTCATAACAGACCTGGTTGAACTCCACTGGTAACGACTTCTCACTAGAACTCCAGGAGTGTCTCCTGAAGTCAGTCACCAGTGAGCAGGTGATTATTATTATCAGAATGGGTCTTGTGGAGATTTTTTAGAAATTTTACAAGTTTAAATCATGAGCCAATTGAAGCTAGATCACCATGGAAAACCTGGAAGCACTGGACGGAAGTGACTGATGTAAGCTGGTCAACGTTTGCCGGTAAAGTTAAGCATAGCGTACCCACTCGTGATCCGGCACGGACGCGTGACCGAGCGACTTCAGCTTGTTCAGTTCATTAAAACTAATGCGGTCAACTTCAAATTACAAAGACGTACAAAGTTATTGATTTTGTGCGTTATTTACTGCTACAGATAACTCAAGCATTTCGTTTAATGATAATGACTCTTAGACTTGACCAGTCAAAAGTTTAAACCCATCGAGTTTGCTGTTGGTACACATTATTCTGATAGCTTGCTATGTTAAGAAGGGTCTTGTAGTCTTTCTTTAATATAAGGGGCTATACTGCACAATCTAGTAATAAAGAAACAAGGTATAATGGAAATTTCTGTTCATCTTAAACTTCGTCGTTCTTTTTCTTCTTTTCCAGTCATCCTGGAAAAGAAAAAAAGGTTACGTATACGCATGTCGAATTACACTCTTATATGTGTAAAGACACAAAAAGAGGAACAGGAAAATAAACTCATTAACATGCGTTTAGTAACACACGCAATAGTGTAAAGAAGAATTTCCCAGAGTGATTTTAAAAAAAAAGAAATATACACATATAAACGAACATACTAGGAAAAAACAAAATTCTGTTATTTTTTTGGAATAAATGTATACATATGAACAAATTAAGAATAGAAATCAAGACGAAACAAAGTGATATGTAGTGTCTTACATGCAGTAATCGTTTAGGTATTCTGGAAATCTAACTCTTGTTCCAGAAAGCGTTGTTTTGAGTCTGTTCTCAGATAACGCACAAGTATCACCGTGATTGCTGGCTATCGGATGAGGTATCATAATTGTGGGACTCATGTCTTTCGATTGTATCGAAGGAAAATAGATATGAATAGTGTTTCCCTCTTAATACGCGATTTTATATAATCGATGCTGATGCCATCGTTAGTTCTGTTCTTATCGATTATATGGTACTTAGGTTCAAGCTGAAGAACTTTGAACGGCATTTCATATGCTGTTTCGAGAGGCCGTCAAACTGGGTCGCGCCGTACAATGACGTAAGTACCATATTATAGTACAGGTAGAACGAATACATCAGTTGATTGCGGTCATGCGAAATCAGGTTTAACCAACTCACAGCGTTTGTAAGCCTTACCGTGTTAGATTTTAGATCCGTATTCGTTGAAAAAAATAAAGGGACAACGACGTCTCACGGAAGTCAAAGTGTCGTTCAAGAAACGGTTTAGACCGCAATGTATTCAATGTTAGCTTACACTGCATTGCGAATACCAAGTGAAACGAGCGGAAGAGCATCGGTCCGCTGTAAATGTTTGCATCTGAGAGTGAAGCGCTGAGTTGTCAGTGTAAGCGTTTTACAAACCTGTTTGTTTATGAGTTGTGGGCAGTTCTTCGGAGTTGTGTGATTCCTGATAGTGTAGTCGGACAATCGAAAAGTGCAGATTCGAACTGAACTCCACGGCCTGTACTGATAGTTGAAGGGCAGCCGAAGTTTGCTACCCATCGCTCGATGAAAGCGAGGGCCACTGTTTCAGCAGCAATATCCTTGATGAGTATTGCTTTTGGCCATCGATTGAAGCGGTTTACGCAATTTAAGAGATAAGAGTGTCTATTTAAATCTTGCAAGGGTACTACCAAATCTAGATGAACACGGTCGAATCGAGCATCGTGAGTTTTGAATGAAGCTAAGAGACATTTGTTGTGTTTAATCACCTTAGACTTCTGTCAAATTTCACATTCCACAAAAACAGTTCTGCTATGAGCTTGATGATTGCTCAAACACCTGGGCGAGAAAGCTTGTGTAACGTTTTAAAGTCGTTGCGTCAATCATGTCCCGGTGCGAATGGACGATTCTTAAGTGTAGATGTGTCGCAAAGTACGGTCTACCGCTACAATAAAATCTGTTGATCAGAAGATGAATGTGCACAAGAACATAGAAAATGGTTTGAATTGTCAAAAAGTACTAGGCTGTTGGAAGGTTAGTGAAGACGTCATGTCAACAAACAGAAAATCACTGGTTTTATATTTTCTTTCTCATTTTAGTCGATGTAAAAATAAATTTGCGAAGTTATGATTGTGCCTAAAGCTTAAGGTTTTCAGAAATCTAGTAAACGGAGGCTAACTACTGTTTTACCGCAGAAGCTTGATCTGAATTACCCATTTGGTTGCCAAAAGACTCTAGAAAATTAAAATAAAAACATCTTTCTCCATACATGAGAACAGATAACGGATGCGAAATTCCTCTGACTAATATTTATTTGAGTTTACATAGTGAAATTTTGTTTTCCATTTGTTTTTAGTAATTTTAAAGTTTATTTGGGTTGATTGCAGTTATGCTTTACATGTGTATAACAATGGCTATGGATGCTTGTTTTTATAAATTTTTGTCTCTTTAATCCAAAGATATCGTTTTTATTTTTTACTGCTTTTCTGGGAGTATAAGATAAAAAATATGGGTGTATATATACATTATAGTAAAGTGTTTGTTATTTCTGGAGATGGTTTCCGATATGAAAGTTAGACGTCAGTTCGTCGAGTAATATTTATATTTCTGTTTGCTTTGTCTTACAAAGAATGCTCGAATATAGAAGAAATGAACCGCAATGCCATGAGAATTTCATCCGACTACCAATTAGACTGAAAAAGTTATGATTCGTCAGTTATTTGAACAGCCAATTTGTGTACTGTAATCATCCACGTAACAGCCACAAGGGAACAATGCACCATGTAATGAACAATTATGTAAGTTGTTTGATGGACATTGTTATTTTTTTTGATCATATTGTAGTGACCTACTTTAATCGACAGAACGCGATTAATGTAATGAAACTAATTACTATTATAATCAATTGTACCAGGGATTGTTTTGCTGTGCGTTTTTTTAACTGTACTTAGAATATACATTGTTCCGTTGCTTGTGACCTTGCACGCTCTTACGTTTGCTCAGTAGTTCCACTTGTATTCCTTTGGCACGATCTTGGTATTGCTTTGATACCACGAGATTGCCAACAAATATATCTCGACTACAGCCATCAACTGCCTTTTGATTTCTGGTTTACTCGGAGGTTTAGCCTGTTCTGGTACGCAATCGTCATGTGATGGTGATTATAGTCAAAAGTGACTCAACGCCACATTGCAATATCGACTGTATCGACCTTTTTTATGTCATATTGCATATGGTAATGTTGGAGAATTAGCTAACATACTGTCAATGAGTGATTAGTGTAGCGAAAACAGTCAGTGGTGTTTTAGATGTTATGAACCATTTAAGTCTTTGTATTCGTGCGCATAATGAGTATGCTAAACCATTATTTTATGATGGGTAACGTGGTATGTTTGTGAATCGTGATGCGAAAATAGATAACCGCTGATTGCAAAGTTTAACGTTTTAAGTTTTATAGATTCTTTTGAGCAAACTCCAGAAAGTGCGACGTTAAAGTTAAGTACTTACTGTTGTTCGGTTTCATGTCTTAGCGCTACGGCAAAATAACGATGTTGTTATATATACTGACTACTGCTCTGAATGTTTGTTTGGGTATTATTAGTGTAACTGCTGGATGCGTAAGGAAAAAATGTATATGGAGAATATGGTAGGGTTTGTGGGGAATTCTGTAGACCGTGAAGATGCCACAAGTATTCAGTGTTTGATAACGCTTTAACCAGTAACACCTTCTAATATAACTCGTACGCACCAAGAGAAATCAAAAGACGGAATCGAGGAGATTGAAAGATATACTTGATGACTCTCAGTATATCGAGAATCGTCTGATCTAATCTGGCTAGCGATTGTAGTAGATGTTGAGCACGGCGTTCCCACATGTGATCTGGTGTGGATGCATGACCGACCGCCTTCAGCTAGGTGAGTCCGTTAAAACTAATGTGATCAGCATCCAATGTCGAAAACTTACAGAGCTATTTATTTTGGGGATATTTTGACCGCTACAACCGTTTAGGCATTCGAAGAAGCCGAATTGCATGTAAGTAAATGGATAACGAAATCAGGGCGATATACGCGTAATAAAAATGTCGAGTCATAGTTTACCATAACAGAAAACCGTAAATGCAAAGTGGATGGTAAGCATTATTAAAAAATGGCAACCATTCTCACCACCCGACCGCGGGATGATTTGACTAAAGCCCAGCGACACTTCCTTGGTCCCACAACTCCATAGTTGAAAAACACAGCTGAGAACACACACCTGATTATGTTTCAATACACCACTAGTCAGTTTGGATTTTATACACTATAGGACATTAATATTTTGTTGTAATGTGCACAGCATTTAATCGATGTTGACCATAGGTTTAATTGATATCGAGATTATTTGGCAGTGTTACTTTCAAGTTAATAGTTCACTAACGTGAAGTACCCTTGTGGTTGTGCTAGGGCTATTTCAACTGGAGAAGGATGTTGTGACTTATTCGCGCTTAATTCTCAGTGGTGTTTGGCTGAGCCTTACCAGCTGTTGGTTCACCGACTAACACTGCCAATAACGATTCGGGAAATTAAAGGCTGTCAAAATTTTGAAATTATTTGTCATCACGTCTCTAACATTTTTCAGCATATTAGTCTATTCATCCTTGTTATTTTTTCGATCGGCGGGTTAGAGCAACTGAAGGTCATCCTATTAGTTTGTCGGGTCAGATCTGAGATTCAGGTTTGTATAATAAGGAAATAACCCCTACAGCCTGTGTCAGTACTTTTTTAGAAAGCTACTGAGAGTGTCTAGTCTTCCTTTGAATGAGTCATTTGAAGAGGCGGACATCACTTCGGGTAACAGGTCCCGAAAATTGATGGACTTCCACGGGTATCTACCCTCTGTACTTTTTTGGTGCATACAAGTCATCTTCCAAACAGGGGTTTAAAGCGTAAACGCAGTCTTCAAGTTTGCATCTCACTAGGGTTATGTATACTGTAGTGAACATATTAGTATCCAACTTGGTAAATGTCCGTCTTAGAGCCTATGTTGTTGTAAACCTCTTAGCTGCAAACACGTTGTAGTGGGCCGTAGCCTAAAGATCATGGTTCATTGTTACCCCAAGGTCGTTGTGAGACCGCACTGCGGAAGTGACACTTCACTTGTGCTGCATCTATTAACCGTTATGTTCGCAATTTACATGTAGACACACAGCCTCGTCGGTAGGCATGTCACCGTCTAATTTAGTTTTGAGATTTCATGTTAACTTATAAGACGCATGGGACACTGCTTGGTCGCTCAAACCGCAGCAGGTGGTTTTATTAAGTGGCCTTTCCTCGAGCCTTTGACCTACAGATCTAACCCAAAAGACAATGAAGCAACGTTAGCAGATGCAGTCCCATGGTAGCCGGTGAGCAACAACAGGCTCATACACCATTTGTCCCTTCAAGATCCTGAAGCCTATGTACACCATTAGTTTGGAATCAGGGTTTTTCAGCTCCCCTAGGTGGATCCTCCGTACCCACCAAACCGGTTAAAGCACCAGACATTCGCTTTTCGTCCCTTCAATTTCGTAAACAACACCCTCACCGAGAGAAGGCAGTGATTAGGACTTCCCTGTTAGTGACTGCATACATATGGCCATGTGAGGGCATTTCGAGACTTCCCCCACTCGGTCGTACCAGGGTATTTGAGTGCATTTGTCCACCATATATAGAGTGGTATGTATGAGATAATAGAAAATAAATTCGATCGTATCAAGCTTTGTGCTATGTGACTTGGGTCAGAAAAGTCCATTGTAGTGCAGGGACATTTAATCCTTATCTTTGTATCTTGGACCCTATCACTTATTTTTTATCACTTCATTTCACGTTCCAAAACATATTCTTTGAGTTTGTAGGCTCAGAGTAAAGCTATATTTCCTTGCACATAATACCCAATTTTTCTACAGAAATTTATTATTTATACTAGTGTATTTTGGTGTCCAGGACTTTCTGGTATGGTAGAAATATTGTATTCTTAATTGGTTGTGACTTCCGGAGATTTCCGGCTTTCAGCATAAGAGGGATTATAGTTTTTACATAAAGTCCTTTCAACTCTCAGGGCAGAGTTATATTGTTCACCTCTGATGATCTTTTTCACAGAAGTTTCACAAATTGAGTTTACTAGCTCTAATCCAACCCTGCTTTACGCGGTCTTGGGATGGGCAGTAACCCTAAACAGTCCCCAGGCGACGTACCTCACATATTAAATTACCCATTATTACGCTGTTTAATATTGTCAAAGGATCTGACTACTGGGGCTGCTGACGAAGTGACAAGTTGCGCGTCCCGTAAAAACACTTTGAACTGTTTTTGGGGTGAATGAATCACCCAGCCAGAGTTTATGTTTAACTGTTTTACTGCCGTTCCTTAATAATGCTTCTCATTTAGTAGACGAGTTCTCAAAAATTTATCAACAAACTCACTCGAAATAGATATTGTAGGATCTAATTTGTCTTACAGATATTCTACTATAATTGAATACAGAATCTGGAACCTGGACATATAATGATTCTTTCATTCTGTTCTACAACACTTGAAAAATTTCCCCGGTATTTATAGGAGTATGGTGCCTCTGTAGTTCATATACTTTCTGAAATCTCCATTTTTTGGTATCTTTATGAGATATTCTTTCCAGTCTGTCGGCACTCATTCTTCCTCCCAAATCTTTCTAGGTAGAACGTTGAGCATGTTTGCAATTACTTATATTTCTGACTTTAGTGCCCCCAAATGCCCTGGTACGGCCGAGGGTGGGGAGAGTCCGCTCTCCCTCTCGAAATACTCTCACACGGCCACGCGTATATAGCCTCTGCCAGGGAAGTCCTACTCACTGCCTTCTCGTGGAGGGGGTGTTGTTTACGAAAATGAGAGGACGAAAAGCGAATGTCCGGCGCTTTAACCGGATTCCAAACCAATGGTGCACATGGGCTCCAGTATCCTGTGGGAACAAATGGCGAATGAACCAATTGTTGGTCACCGGCTTCCATGGGACTGCATCTCCTTACGATGCTCCACTGCCTTGTGGATCAGACCTTTGGGTCGAAGGCTCGGGGTGTGGCCCCCTAAGAAAACCACCTGCTTCGGTTTGGGCACCCGGGCAGTATCACAGCCCTCACACATATCGGATGAGATTTGTGTGGCGCATATGTATTTGGTGCCTCTTTGTACCATTATCTATGTGTTGAAATAAATAAATAAATAATAGTGCCTCGGCTGGTATAGTGTCAGGTCCTGCTGTTTTAACTCTCTTGATTTGTCTGATGACCATCCTGATTTCTTCTGTTGTTGAAGGTCTGTAGGTGCTGCTTCGATATCTGGTGTATTTAATGGGGCTCGCCTATTCAAGAGTTCTTCGAAGTATTATACTACCCATCTGTTCCTCTGTTCTCGAATTTCGGTGATTGTCTTGCCTTGTTTGTCCTTGATCGATCTCTCTGGTTTGCTATATTTCCCTGCTAGTTTCTTCACTGTGTCATGTAGTTGTTTCATATTTCCTTATCTTGAGGCTATTTCTGCTGTCGTTGCTAGGTCTTCCGCATATTTCTGGTTGTCGGCTCTAATGCTCCTCTTCACTTGCTTGTTTGACTTCAGTACTTCAGCTGGTATGTTGTCTGGTCCTGCTTCTTTTCCACTCTTGATAAATGGTAATGAATAAATCATGTAGTCATTTTTTCTACGTCATTTATCTTTCGTATTATTAACCTACAGTGACGGCTGTAGCGATGTGCCTCCCATTCATTAATATCGTTAGTTTGGAATATATCTTGTTGGCTCTCGCATTACTATCTAAATAACTACTGTAGTCGGCAATTTAAACGCATTATATACTTGATATTTAAATGCTTTTCGAAAGCCAGGATAAATCCACTGGCTATCTTGAAGCAGTAAGGTGTCTTCAATTTTTTCATTAGTTGCTGTACCAGTATTTTCTCATAACTTACCTCATATCTGTGTCTATTCTGATTTAGGCCTTATTGCGATGCGAAGACATGGAGATCAAGACTTCTCTCCCCCGTCGAAGCGACACAAAGATCGATCAGGATATTCAGAGAGACATCGATCGGTATCTCGAAACTCTCCTAGTTCGAGGTCTAAGTATTCTGTCTCAAATAGACATTCTTCAAGACCGAAGAATTCAGAAGGAAGGACTCATGGGTTAGATCATTCTAGAACTATATGTGTAAGAAACATTTCATCTAAGTTGAGTGCTGATGTTGTTGAACAATGTGTGTACCGGGAACTAGGAAAGTATGGAGACCTTTCTATCAATGTTGGGCATTTAGGTGGCGAACGCGTCGCTCTGGTTACCTATCAGTAAGTTTTACAGGTGCACATTAATTAATTCACAAACAGTGTTTTTCTAAACATTATTCTGAATCTACATTGTTTTTGACGGAATTTTTTTCGTTCCTGTACTACTTCAGTAAAACTGGTCCAAGGAGCCTTTTATAACGTAGGTGTATTGCTAAACTTTGTTCAGTCTTTGATTAGCAAAATTAATTTAGTTTTAGGATTAAACCACGATGAGTTTGGTAATAAACTTTGAGCTGATTAAATTACCCAAATCAATTCATTTGAAACTCATTTATCAGGAACAATTTTATTTATTTGGCTTTAAGTCATACTTCGCTAAAGCGATAATTATACTACCTAGTTGTACAAATCGAATTAACTAAACTGAAGCTTGAACAAGATTTTTAGTGGTTGAGAGTCAAACACCCTAAGCGTCAAGCTACCACTTTACAGATTCTTTTTAAGATACTTCGATAGCTAATCAAAGGATGGTACTTCTCCTGAAATAACAAACACACATCCAACTTCTTATTTCATGTATGCCTTATGCGTGTTAATAAATTTACTGTGTCATTCATTAGTGCGTAATCAGGATAGAGATAGTTTGTCATGAAATGAGCTACTGTACAGTGATTATTCGACTCGTCATTCTGATTGAATTAGCCAAATGAATTTTTAGACGTGCTGTAAATCAAGTAGTAAGTAGCGAGGTGGATATTCCTTTGATAATACAACTAGATAAAGTAATTACAAATCAGCGACTTTCCAGATCTATCCCGATATTTCATTACTAGTTTGTTTTCTTTTACTTTTGTGACAAACAAGATAGACTTATTCATAAGAGGAGAACTTCAAAAACACATCATTGCACCCATAACTAATAGAGCGAATGAGAAAATAAAATACATACCTACACAAAAAATATAGGCTAAAAGCGAAAAATATCTAAACTTGAAATGTTTAGTATGTCGAAGACAAAGAGTTAAGGTATCCAGACCATTATAAACGGTTTGCGGTTTGTCACCTAGGCTCTAAAACCACTAGTTCCTGTCACTCCTTTTACATTTGAGAGCGAGTCAGTGATTCCACAGGTCGCCGCCCTGTCTTGTTCTGCCTACTTTTAATCCTTTTCCAATTTGATTCTACTTCAACTAACATCGCTTGTAGTAGACTGAGCCGGTGTATGTAAAATGCTTTATTAGTCAGTCACTAGGTTGTTCATTTGGACCACGCTTTAGCTACTTTAATCTGGACAGCCAGGTATTATCGGTATTCGCCACAGTAAAAGTGTGATTTGAAAATAAGTATATAAACCTGTACTTGATTAACAATGTAACCTACTGGATACCAATACAAGTCAGATTTCAAGAGTTGAATAACTAGTGTAAGTACTTTTAGAATTATAGGATAATTCCACTGGTCGTACTACAGTTACGATTGCAAACAATCATGGTACGAAGCTTCGGAACAACCGTTCGCTAAATAAGCCATAATTATAAAAGATACTGTATGTAATGCCTAAAGGCTTAAAATTCAGTAAGGTGTGTGCTAACTAATCATACATGTTGTCCTTACGGGTCACAAATGGACTGGTGTAAATGAGGATTTCAAGAATTTAATACGTGATTCTCGACGCAAGACTCGATGTATACATTGAACTTATGCATAACATAAATTACGCTTCAAATAACGTCCCAGAATAGATATAATTACTTGTTATTAGTTTATCGTTATGAAAACTGTTATCACTTCTTTCCTGTGTCATGTATTATTAACTTTTTATCTTCAGATATTCTGAAGACGCACAAGAAGCTCTTTGTGATAGCCCAATAATTTACATACTTGATCGTCCTGCAAATGTTACCTCATTAATTGATATTTCTAGTGAAGGTGATACGCGTAAAGTAATTGCCAGCAAAAAACGTCAAGAAGGAATGGAAGCCGAAGATATTAATGACCGACGACATCTTATGCACAATATTCCCGGCAAAGTAGAGTCCGCTTTTCCTGATTTTTTACCTAAACCAACTCCACTAGGTCCATCAGGTACTACAAGCCTACTTGGTATGCCTGGAATGGCATCTTCCGCCATGATGGCTGCTGCTGCAAAGGCTCTTGGTCTGAATGCTGTCCCTGGGGTGTTGCCACCTGCACAGTTAAATGCAATCACTTCCCACAATCGCTTTGGCTCTGCAAACCTTCGACATTATGAACATAACAGAAGTGGATTCTCTCCTGGAGCATCTGATTCAGAAAAGGAGTCAAAAGCTACAAGGACTTTGTTTGTTGGAAGTTTAGAACCAGATATAACGGAAAAAGAGGTACTCTCAGCTTTTGAGAGGTATGGTTATGTTGAACAAATTGATATTAAGCGTTCTCCGAAACCTGGTGCCCATTCTTATGCATTTGTACGCTTTCAGAATGTTGATATGGCCAGTCGTGCAAAAATGTCCATGTCTGGTCGTTTTATTAGATCCTTACATTGCAAGATAGGCTATGGTAAAGCAATTCCATCGCACTGTCTGTATATTGGTGGATTAGAATCTTGGCCTTCCGCTGATTCACTGCAGCGTATGCTCTCTCGTTTTGGACAACTAACTTATCTTGACTGGTCTCCTAGACGTAAATATGCAATCGCCATTTATGACAGCTGTGAATCAGCACTCGAAGCTAATAGACAATTAAAAAGTCTCTCAGCAACCAGTCGTCCAAATTTAAGACTTCGTGTAGATTTTATAAACCCGGAATTAATCCAGCCGAAGCCACAGATTTTAAACAAGATGGACTCTAACATGGAAAGTGACAGTCAGGACAATCAAGTGTCAGAATCACGAAATTCTATAATTAGGTCTGATACTGGAATTCCTGTAACTGCAAATAACTATCGTATTCGAACAAATGAACATTTTGATGGAGGGCCGTACACGATGAACCAATATTGCATAGAGGATCACGCCGGTGATAAAAATCTCGCTAATGTACGACACTTACCTTATTCAAAACCATCTTTTCATATATCTAATCGGTATCATACATATAATCGGAACACACCTCGCTACTCGGACAACCACGGTATACTCAGTCCAGTGGAAGATATTCCATGTAACCTGAAGTCAATCGTCACTCTCCAAGAACTAGACCAGCATCTTCAACCGGATTTATGGAGAGGAAAGTTCTTATTAAAAAATAACCATTTTTATTTTCGTTGTTTGATGTTAATAGGTAATAAAGATATCAGTCAAGACTTACTGGATTATAAAGACAATAACAGTAATTCTGAACGACTATGTAATCCGACTTTACGTATTTCACGCCGAGGCACTCTTGATGCTTCATGGATGGCTGAAGCCACGCATCGTATTCATAATGTACTATCTACAGCTCGTCATAATTTATGCCTCATGCTAATATTGCCGGATATGGAACAAACTAATAAGTATCTGGACAAGGAATCTAAACTGAATAATCAATCGAATACTGAAAGTACGGATGTAAAAACAACAATAAGTCATTGTTTTTCACTACACGCTTTAATTGCTTATTTAAAATTAAAACAATCAGCTGGTATAATCTGTCCAAATGAAGAAAAAGTACTACAAGAATCATTGAATACTAGTTCTGAGAAAACAACTATAACACGACGTTCATCTTTGATAGTATATTTATTTGCACCAAGTAGTTTTGCATTAAGTTTATTAAAACAAACAGCACCTTGCTTAAGTTCAGACTTGGCAACAACAAGTGATTATATGGTTCTTTTAGCATTAAAGCGGTAACATAAAAAATCCCTTGATCTAGGCACAAAAAAAAACACAACACACTTTGATTTCTTATTTTTGTTTATTTTGTACAAATTTATATATATATGTAAGCATTTTTCTTTAATTCACTTGTTTATTTATATTGTTATTCAGTTTGAAATTAAAACAAATTGTTTCTGTGAATCATAATCCGTATTATATTGTATATGTAACAATTTGGTATGTTATTTTGCCTTTTTTTTTGTGTGGTTAAAACCAAATTGAAAATAACGCTTAGATATTGATGTTCAAAATTCTTTAGAACAACTTTAATAAAAAGAATTAAAGTTTTGACAAACGTACACAACTTTAATATTTAAATAACTGATATTTAAACAATATTTGCAAGTTTATTTCATTTATGTTATAAAATATGTAAAATAAAATGGTGTACAAATAAAAGTTGTTCTATTATCACCATAATCACAATTTATATTAATTAATAAATTAGTGAAATCAATTAATAAGAAAATACTTAATAAATAAATTTTATAATTAGTATATATATTATCGCCAAATTTTTATTACACCATCCATTGAAGCAGAGACTAGAAATGCTTGACCTGCTTGAAGAACAGTTAAATCAGATATAATATTCTTATGTCCTTTGGTTGATTCACGTAATTCTAAACGTCCTGACACAGGGAATGCATTATTTGATACTTCTGTTATATTACTTGATGATTGTAATTTTTGTGATATTTCTGTGTACATTGTTTTTGTTAACAAACTACTTGATGTATCACTAATGGAAGAAGTATCAGTTTGTTCAATCAAAACATAGACATCATTTACATATGTTGACCTATTAACAATAGAAGAAAATGATCATTTTTTTGAAAAGCTTTTTTAAAAGAAATATATATAATATTAGTTCACTTCCTGTGTGATAATCAAAATATACTTATGTAGAAACCCTTTTTTGTTGTTGAAAAAAGTAGGTTATTTGTCATCTTGGTTAGGAGGGTGGCAGAATCAAAATACTGATATCAGTCTATGAATTCAATGAGTCTTAGTCTAAATCACGCTAGTACATGTAGACTACTTGGATAAGGTCCACACAATAACCGCAATCATTGTAATTGGAGACGTTGGCTGACATAGCTCAGAACCTATCACAGTGGTTCAGATCCACTGGCTCTTCATCTTACCCAAGACATCTGGTCCTAGTATTTATACATACATCTAAATCCTGTTTTTCGAACCAAATCCACAGTATTTAGTATTTTTCAATAAAACCTAAACTACAATAACGTGACTCGTCACTAATCATGTTGTCGTGCTAGTGGGGTATGACAATTTGAGCTAATGAATATTTGTCTCAAACTTCATGTTTATTCTAACCATTGAATGACACTTACTTCATTCAGGTCAATTTTTAGTGAAATAGTTTACATCCCATTATTGATGATAAATATTTTTTTTCTAAATTATTCACATTTTTTGTCTTATTTTACACAAACAGTAATAAGATTTTTAAGACGAACTGCACAGTACTATCGCGAACTGGTTCTTGATTTATTAGCCAAGACTAATGCGTACTGAATCACCATTTCCAGTGTTACATAGATTGCTTAGCGGATATAGTATTCGGTACTATTAAATCACTAGTTCATAAATTTAGCTAAACAGTACAGCAAAGCAGAGTAGAAGTTCGCAAGTGAATTGAAGAATATCGATACGGAAAACCAATGTGTTCGTTTTGTTCAGTCATTACGATAAGCACAATTTCCATGTGGGGATTCCAACTTGTGTAAACAACTCAAACAATTATGAGCTTTTATTCAAGTAAACTGTAGCATATTATTAAAGTACTATGATTCAGTGATCAGTTTTTACATTATAGTGTATGGGACCCTATATCATAACTAAGCTTCGATGACTTAACCCCCACTTATGAATCGTGGTGCTAAACGGATAGTGAGAAAGGCAAAATATTCGGAACAAATGAGACGAGATTACACCTTTGATAATGTATATTTATTAGCATGCTTGTAACTACTTCTCTACTTGAAGTTCTGGAGTGACGTTCAGTCTAACTCACGGCGAAATTAGAATTGAACAATTAAAAATGCTTTCATAGAGCTGATTTTCGGGTTTTTTAAAATCCAGATGGATTGGTTAAGTTATTTTACGGAGTACAGAATCTTACGTTAAACCAGGAGATACATTCAGTGTCGTTGGTAGGATGTATAAACATTCATGTTTACATCAGCGTCCTGGATATAAGCTCATCTTAAATGAATGTCATCGTGTCACTGAATATAAAGTGACAAAAATCAATTTACCGGTAGTTAAGTCGAGGAGGTGTCGCTTCATCAATCCCAGCCCAAACTAAAACACACGAATCCTCTGGTTTTCGGAAGTTCCAATATCGTAAACGTGCATCATTACCACCGGCCACTATAGCTGGTAAATGAGTAACTTGAGAATGGGGTTTGTTATGTTCATTAAACGGTATAACATTGTTGTTAGGAAGGCACAAAATTGATCGGACTGATCGATGTGGTAGAGAACTATCAAGAACAAGAGGTGTTTTATTTCCTGGTTGAGCCCATGTCGAAGCTAGACATCCTGTACTGCGAACTGGTGCGAAAGAACCGGGGAGCCCATAATTACAGGATGAAATAGCTGCAGATGATGACGCTGTGGCTGAGGATTCCAAGTCCCAGATTGTCACTTCATTATGATGATCGGTTGCAGCAATAATCTATTAAATAAAATTTCAGAGATTAGACTTATAAGAAGTTACAAGCTACTGTAAATAAGGCTTTAAAATTCCAAAAAGACATTTTGTCGACAAACGAAGAAATCCAACCCTTAATCATACAGTTCTTAACAGACTACTACTACTTCATCCATTTCGCATTTACAAGCAGATGATTTAGTGGTGTTCGTATCTCATGTATGGATGACAAAAAGCGCTGATAACAAACTAATAAGCTCGAGGAACGAACGTAGATTTGGTGCATCGTGTGGGGTAGGGATTTTATTGATAGCCTGAATATTTCCAGGATCAGAGTGGAATTATAAACTACTAAATATCAATCCGAAGTACTTCACATATCGTAAATAAGGGTGACGCTTTTTCGATATTAACCGGAACCAGTGTTTTTTTGATGCGATTTAACACAGCTGTAGTTCTGCTATGTAATTCTTCTAGTTATGTTGCCGCTACAGGCATATCATGCAAATAAACAGTTACTCTTGTAATCCCGGTTAGAATGGTGTTCATTAGTTCGAAAATCATTAGTTCCATCTTTATCCAAACGGTAGTTGATTATATTGAAAATCCAGATGAGTGTTTACTATCAGTAATTCCTGGCATGAAGACCCAACCTCTGTATGTAGGTAAGACTCAGCTAGGTCTGATTTTACAAAATAGCTTCCACTGTTCGGAATAGTAAACAGACCATCCGAACATGATAAGGTATCGTGATGTTGCTCCAGAGCACCATTCAATCCCGCTAAAAAATTTCAAATACGCAGTAAGCCATTTGTTTGATGACAACTATGGGCTTTCCTTTGGCTGAGAATAATAATAGTGTTCGGAACATTGACTTGGCGTTGTAATACGGTATAAGTTACTCTTCATCTACGGCAAAAACTTTTGCCTTATCCTTGATTGTCATATGTAGAGATGCAACTCCAACGTCTAGAAGATCAGTGTTTCAGCGACCAGTATTATTCTTAACCAAGAAAATAACATTGTAGAGTACATTACTAGTTACCAATAAGGCCTCTGAAATAAGAAACGTGTTTATTACAATCACACTTTAATTAACAATTTAGACAGTTGACATGCATTACCCATCAATGAAAGGTATGCGTAAGAACCACCGGTTGTTAGAGAGGTTGGGAAAACAATAATCCTAAACAAGCGAGAAAACATTATGACTTTTTACGCTAATTCCAGAGGTCTCGAAGTATGATAATTCAATATTATCACTTAAACTAACTTATTCGGATGTAATTCTATCTAATAGGTTCCGATTGAAGGTTTAGGATCTGGACGTAGATGTGTTGGTTAAATTGTTACACTGACAAAAACAAGCAAGCATACCGACGCTCAACTGCAGTCATTACTTAGCCTGAATGCGACACTGTCTACCAAGAAGTCTCGTGGCAATGCTCGTAACTTGAATCAGTGTCAAAATTGTTTTACATCTGAAAGCTCTGCGTTGGAACATTATTGATCAGATCAGCGTTAATGCCAAACAGTAATCTAAATTAGTAATAGCAAGTGGTGTTCGACAGATGCCTCTAGAAATGACACTATATTCCAATTTTCAGTAGTCGACCACCTAATAAAAGATCCAATCTTCAACTTGGAGTACGTGGATCATATAGTTCTGCTTGATGGAAAAATCTGACAAAATTCAGTCTTATAAATGCTCCGAATTATATTTCAAAAAACACTTGGGATCAGTTTTTACTGCTCAAAATTTATGAAAAATATTTTGTTGAAGATATTTTCACCTAAGGACACTGTCATATCACAAAAAACATGATAAATTTATAGTTTATCCTAATGTAGATGTTTCTCTAAAACACAGCGGAATACAAATATAACATGACATCATCCGTTCACAGACCTAGTACAGTACGATAATTGTCAAATAGTTTTTATCATGTATCATATTTCATCCATAATGCAGGATATCAAATGAAATTAACAACTTACCAACGTTTGCCCTACTTGATATGACTTTTCGGATGACTGAGGGAGATTTTGACCAGCATGCTTTTTATCCAGTTCAAACCGAGAATGAGTTTCAGCTATTTGCAAATCTAAAATACCTATACCTGGTTGGTATGGATGTTCTGTATAAGCTATCTGACGTTTATATCTTAAATCCCAACATATAAGATGTCCACGACTAGTTCCCGTAACAAGCCATGTATGAAAACTATGTACTACCATCGAAAGTATTAAACCTAAATAAGAGGTGAAAAATATTTGTTAACTAATAATATGTCAAAAAATTACAAGACTCAACTTACGAAAGCATGATAATATATGCCCATTAACTTTAAGCAATTAATCTCGACTGATAGTTTCTACTTCGATATTACCAGAACTTTCTGTCTCATTTGCCTAAATTTGATAACCAAGTACAAAGGATCTGTAATTATTTCTGAGTCATACCCATAGTGTAAGAGCTGATGAATTGTAGACTAGAAAGTAGGTAAATCAGAATAAGAGCAGATGACCCAGTGGTTCAAAGTCAAACTATGGCTCCACCACCAAACTCATCCAAGTGTACTAGTTGAAAAATTTTTCTTTTGAAGTTAGAAGACTGAACGTACTTTTAGAGAGTTTATAGATTTTCACAGAAGTGGTGAAAAACGGGGTTCGAACCGAAAGGCCGGAATTTCGAGTAATTCTGCCTTATCATGGTGACAGGAAGGCAAGTAAAACAAATTAACTAAATGAAGCTTACATCTCACATTCACTAAGTATTTCCTATGTTAAACAGCAGGGTGAAAATAAGGCTTGACACAAAAAAAAAAACAATTGACTACACACTTAGTTGATCCCGGATATGCATATCTCTGTTTAATTTCGTACACATTCAATGACTTACTACGTTTACGCAATGCAAAGTCGAAATTCCGATTAAAAATGCTATTAGAGAAATCATATTTCGGGTAATCGTTTAATCAGATAAACCAATCTAGAAGACAAGCACACGCAGATAGGATTGGTAACAGTCAAACTCGATTTAATCAAGAGTAATTTTGACAACACAAAGTAAATAATGTGTAAAATACCGATAAATAATCAGATAAACAAATACAAGTATACAAATAGAGATGTAGACAGATGATCAAATGTCTGAGCTAATATAAAGGTAATCAATGGATGAAGACATAATGGCCTATCTATTTAACATG